AAAGCATCTGGTAAATATCTACTTCTATAAACTGTACATATTTGTTTTGTGCACTATGCAAATCGGTTTGACACTGAGGATGGATGCATAGCGAAGTATATTAAACATGGTCTTTTGTGAAAACAAGTACAAAACAACTTTAGTGACAAGCCAGAGCTCTAAAAAAGTTGGTGGCTTGTTTGATTGAAAGAGTTTCTTGTGACACGGTCTGTCTCGCTTGAACTGTTGACAAATCTCTCAATTGTGGAAAACTAGGCCAGGAAGAACCCAAATGTCACAGCATTCAAATGACACTTTGACAGCAGTCATCATACTGAAGATCAATCCCTCAAACCCAGAGGTCAGGTTTGGATAAAGAGATTGTGGTTTTTACTGAGGCTTCTGTGTAATTTGGTTCACCCACAAAGGCCAAGAGGCATGAGCGCTGGAACCGGCAGGCCCTGGAGGTAAATCAGAACCGCCTGAGGAAAACCCTGGGAACATTGGCGCACAAAGTTCCAAACAACCTTGATGATTCTGTTGTCTGCATTCACAAACAAGACATTTGATGCACTTGGGAAAAGTTTTCAGACCGCAGACTGTGCGAGAGATCTTGAAGACCTCATCATTTGCTACTGGGCAGCTAACGCATTAACAGGCCAAACATTTGCAGAATTTCATCTTCAATTTATTTCAGCCTTTGGGCGTTTCAGTTTTTAATTTGTCCTATAAATTGATTTCAGAGTATGTTTTTTTTCCCCCTCAGATTCATTCTCATTTGATTAGAACAACTGTAATTTCTTTCCATGTTTTTTTTATAATTTAATCGGGTGCCTGTCTCTCTGAGCACATGGCCTTTGTTTCACTGAAAAATGGCTTCTGAATTTCTCCCCTCTTCACTCTTGCTTTTCAGCACACATCAATAAAACATTTTCCGCAATTTTAATCTTATTGCTTTGCTTGAAAGATTTGTCTGAATGCACAAAACTTTCTGTTAGAGAGAGAGAGATGTATATCTGGGCTCAGTAAAATTTGTTTTTGAAAGATATTAATACTTTTATTCAGCAGGAGTGCATTAAATTGATCAAAAGTGACAGTGAAGACTTTTGCTTAGTTACAACAAATTTATTTTTCAAATATAAGCTGCTCTTTTGAACTTTCTTTTCATCAAAGAATCCTGAAAAAAAGTGTATCACGGTTTCCGCAAAACATTAATTATTTTATTTATTTATTTGCTTGCATTCATTCATTCATGTATTTATTTGCATAGTACCAAAAATATTGACTAGAAATAACATGTTTTATTTATTTTAATAAACAATGAAATGCTCTGCCTACTAATCTGAATATTTGGGTGGAGTTTATATTGCCCTCATACTTTGTGCCTGAGGTGGGGAAAGAAATGTTAAGAGTTCAGCAATAAGCATTTAAAATAAAATGATTTTTAAAAAGGCACAAATTGCACCGCTTCCTGAGAAAGAACCAGCCACTTTCGCTGCTGTAGCATTTTCCTCTTTACATGAAATGCATCTCAAGCTTTTGACCTAGATGAAACATATATTTGCCAGGGGATTTTGGAACAGCTTTTGAGGAAGTCATATGAAATATAATTTCACATCACAGCAGAACATGCAACATTTTACTCTGAATGCTAAGAAGGTTTCACAAAATCGAATCGGAAACCATTTGCAGTAATACACAGTTGTCAGTGACATGACAAATCTATGCACCAATTCCTAATATCATCTCACAAACAAAGAGCAGAAAATTGAATGGTTAATTTCTGAATTTGAGTTGCATTACAGCTGTGCCAGCCAGTCACAGAAGATCCATGCATGAAAATCATTTTTCTTGTGCCACATACACAATCTTCTTAATTAGACTCCCGTAACAGGAAACAAATGCATACTTTTTGCTGCAGATGGAGTCGTTTTGTCTTACATGCCCAACCATACTGATGACATTCATAGAAATGTCAATTGTCTAATGTGAATTTGAGTCAGAAAGAAACACGAACGTAATGGAACGCAATCAAACATTTATGTTGCCTTGAGCAATGAGCTCTTTGAAAAAACAAAACAAAACCTAAAACAGCCATGTACTGCTTTAAAATCATACCTATAGACTGCAAAAGTAAATAAATTAAAATAATATTAGCATTATATTGTATTTGGTTTCTCAACCAAACAGAAATCCAAGTGATGGTGATTTATTCCATATTTAAAATCTTTTCTAAATCGCATTTGGCACCTGCTCCGCCAGCTTACCACGATAAAGGGCAAAGGTCCATGGATTTTTAAAAGAGAGGTGGCTATTGTTAATATTGAATGCATCTGGAAACAGTAATTAAGTCTTCCCCACAGGAAATGGAATTTGACATACTCTGGAGAGCCGGTGAGTAATTATATTTGTAAAGAGCAGTGATACAAAATACTCCCCCTTACTAGAAGTCATTACACGTCATTAAAGGGTCCCAGCAAACCTGACCTAATCCACACGCGCGCATGTGCACCAATCGATGCCCAACAAGACAGGATTTCTATTTGTCTTTGGCCAAACTGTGTCTCTGATCAAATCTGAGTGCCACAATATTCACATATCCCATCAGTCACAAACAGCCAGACGCCCCGTCCGCAGGACGCCAACAGCAGGAAAGACTCGCCGGTGATCTGGCATTTGTAATTAAATATTAAACCAGTAATGAGTTCTCAGCCATCTACATGGTGTGGAGTTCACGTGCGAAAGTCTCCAAATAGGGCCCCTGGAGAGACAAAGTCCACACTTAGAAGCAATAATTATCACATCCACAGGACAGGTGGAAACGCTGCAGTGAGATGATAAAACTCCAGCGAGACTTATTAAACAGGCTTCGGTAATAAAGACTGTACAGTGCGGAGATCTCTGTTATTGTGTTGCAAATTTCCAGGCTGTATTCGTTCACATCTAGAGTGCTGTTTTCATTCTAGAGTGTAATTTTACATGCTTCTCAAATAAGGCACATCCATGCATAAATGCATGAATTTTACATCAAACCCGTGTAACCTACATGCAGCCGTGTTCATGGAGCATGCATAAACCAGAATAGCCACAAGGTAAATGAGGAATCTTTTACATACTGTATAATTCACTCCTCGTACCTTTAAGCTGCATAATTAAAAGGAAGCTCTCTCTCTCTCTATCTCTTTTTTTTTTGTTAATATCCTATTATTTATTTATTTTCCTTCCTCGAATTGTTCAGTCTGCTCTGAATTTCAATTATATCTGCAGCAGCTATCACTATGCAAATGAAGGGTGTCCTGAGTTTTAATAAAGTGAAAATGCAAAGTTCACAGCGCTGCCATCATTCCTGTAGAGACTGTATCATTAGCAAAACACATTTTGTAAAATATATGCCAAATGTGACCTGTTTGGAAAAAAAAAATAAATACAAATAAAATCAGGAAGTAACTGCTGCAAGTAATTGTTATATTTCACACTAGGGTGGATGGTATTAAATGTAATGGCATAAGTCATTTTATATCACTCTGATGGCATATAATGACCGTCACAAACAAGCCAAAGGCTAATGATATAAATTACCGTTACGTATCAAACATTGTAGAGAGCGATACATAAAATGCAATGCCATTCTGATACATGGACTTGTAGACGGCCATGCATAATTCACTGTTCCTCTTCTTCTCCAGGAACAGTTTATTGTTCAAACATTTAATCCAATTAATCCAGTAGTGCCACCTGCCATTTTGAAGCATTTACTACTTTAGTTAACCGAGTGGAAGTGGAGCAGGTAGTCTGAGCTGGTGTTATGGAATGGAGGCGGGGACAAATTTGCATATTCACAGTTCTCCGTATACTACATGAGGTAAGGGTGTAGAGTTATATTCAAGCTATTTTGAGGCATCAATAAATTATTTCCACTGGAAAATGTTTTAATTTTTATTTTGATTATGTCAGCAGAAAACTCATATTTTACTCTCATGTACCATTTCTCCTTCATCTGCAGGAGATGACACTGTAGTTTTTTAAAAAAATATTTTTTTTTAAATTTATTTATTTATTTTAATATAATATCTTGGGTCACGAAGAGAGTCAGAATGTACAACACGTATTTCCACCTCCCCTACAGCGTAACACTGGCATGTGCTTAATTCTCAACTCATCATAACAGACAGTTTTGAGCCACAATGAAATCTTTTGTAAAATGCTTGATGTATATAATTCAGCTGCTAGACTTTGCTTTGGATGGTGCCTAAAAATGACCCTTTTCAAGTTTTTTTCCCTTTCATTTTCACTTGTTTAGGACATATTCCACTCTACAGATGTTCAGATATATCTACAGCAGGAAACAGTATAGCAGAATCTCTACCTGTGGGCTTGCCACCAAAAGTTTGTAGGTTTGAACCCAGCAAGGAGTCACACATAAGCTCTTGATCAAGACATATCACTTCAAGTTACTCCAGAATGATTGGCGCTTGAATATGTGCATACAGAATAAAGCATCTGCTAAATAAGCACTTAATTAAAGCTCCTTAGTGAAACAAACACTTTTCTTTTTGGTTTATGCGATATATTTGGTTTCAGTATTCATTTATTGGCTTTATAAACTCACTCAAAAATGTAATTTATTGTGCTTATGTTTCAAATTAATGCATAACTGGATGACTGAACATTTTTCTGGACAACTTTTAACAAGTAATAACACTGTGCAAGCCATAAAATAAAAAAAATCACTGAACTCTGGCAAGAGTTTATACCGCTTTGAGCAGTGCTCTTTAATTCAGTTTCTCTTCAAATGTTTATGCATTCTTCCCTCAATGGTTTACATTTATTGATTCAGCAAAAAGCATTCAACTTATCATTCAAGTAAATGCAAATAGTCTTAATAATGAACACAGAACCACAGGCACCCAGACATTAGCAAACATATTCTTGCAGTAGTCATTCTCTGATGAGTTATTAAATGCAATTTTTCCAGTATGGCTGCTCCTGGAAAATGTTATATAAAAAAGAAAAGTGCTTACCTAGGACGCCGACTCGAAAGTTGAGTGTGATAACGATGACGTTCCCGTAACTGGCCAGCGCGCTTCCGTCAATCATGTTTCCGGTGCCCTCCATGTACGAACCTCCATGAATGTACACCATCACAGGCTTGGCTCCGGTATCTCGTATGTCTGCAAGAGTGGCCACCATTAAACTCTCACTCCCCCACTGCCCCATCAGAGCAAGATTCAACACAGCAATGCGTGTCACAGTCCTCCCAGATACCAGCCACCAGCTCAATTACAGTTTGAGATGCATCTCATATCAGCCGAGTCATTTGTCTCTCGTAATGAACAGTATGCGCAAAACAGAAATGAACAGATGAAGCCATAAGGAAGGTCAGAACCTAACTGGCTATCGCAGGCGGCTCTAACGTGCTTTAGTGGCCTAAATGATGAGATCATCTCAAATTTAATGGCCTTGTTAGACTTCACTGCTCCGGCACACAGCCACAGAAGGGTTTAAAACGAGCAGCAATTGGCGGGCCAAAAATTCTTATCTCATAGCGGAGCATGCTGAAGCCAAAAATTTAAATTACCTTCATATTGTTCTGACCCCTATTGTTTTGCTTACGTGAAATGCAAAATTGTCATAGGCAAAAGTGAATGGTGCTTTATATTGCCAAGCTCTAAAAAGGACAAAAACAACCATAAAAGCAATTCATTAAAATATGAATTCACATGTTCTGAAGTCAAACCCAAATGTATGCCATTATTCCCTAAAAATACTTTAGTTAAAAAATTGAGCAGAAGGTCACAGCAGGTTTGACATTATTGTTGCCAAATGCATTTGGTTCTCATACAGTGTAACCTCATATCGTGTAGAATTCAGAAACCCTTGTTATCAGCGGCACCGACGGCAGTTAAGTAAATTGCAGCCAGCAAAATATTTGTTCGCGCACACACTCATGCATTTAACAAACAAGAGGCTGGATGTGATTCAGTGCCCCAAAATACTCAGTGAAATTCTTTTTTAGAAGTAAAAAGAAGTTGGAAATACTTTTGCAGTAATACACTGTTGACGGATATCTTGATGCCTCCCACGCTGATGAGAGCGACATTTAGATGAATTTGTAAATATGTGTTGCACAGCAAAAATGACAGCAGTGAGAAAGCAGCAGTTAGGAAAGCATCTAATCATAGCGATGTCGCCGATGTGGATATGTTTGCGCCAGCTCTGCACTTTTCCAGTCTGGCATCATGTCGACAGATGAGGTAATAAAAGTTACACTGTGCATGACACATTGCCACTACAGTACAGAATAGGTCTTTTGACATTAACCTGCACACTGTATAAGCATTTGTTTTGGAAGAGAGGTTCTCGGGAGTGTGCGTAAACGTCACGTCCATTTGATTTTCCCAGGAAAAAATGTCCCGAGTCCTTCACATAAAAATTAGTCTACAGGCTTTCATAGACAACCTAGGAAGTTGGGGAAGGTCTCGTTTTTTGAAGTTTCATTACAAGCTATTCACACATTGGCAATAAAAAAGTGATTAACACATGATAATTCTTACATAGCCCCTTTAAAAAAAATCTTTAAACGTCGGTCTGTTCCTCAAACAAAGCTATTATTAGAATATTCTTCATACCTTGTATGGACTCATTTTTGGAGCTTGACAGCACACCACCATTCACTTTCATAATAAGGGAAACAGAAGCTTGAACATTCTATCCAAGATCTCCTTTTGTGCTTCCCAGAAGAAAGACTGTAATACAGGTTTAGAAGAACAAGCTTCCTTATTTCTCTTAATGTTTGTATATAGACATTAATCAATCAACCATTATCAGTTTGTTATTTTCTGCTAATGACATAATATTAAACAGAAAAAGAGCACAAGCTGGGAAAATTGTCTGTCTACTGAGATGAAAGAGACAGAAGCCTTGGGAAGCGAGCACTGCTGGGCTAAGACTCAGAATGCTGTATTGTATTGAGAGTTGCCATGGATATGGCAGATCAAAATTCAGAATCTTTGAGAATGGCTAATCGCAAACACCACTCCAGTGCATTTGCCCCCGTTTGCATTCAAGCCCTCCTATTAAAGATGCGCCTATTTGCATGTATGCGGTCACAGCAAATTACCGGCTGGCTTTTTCTTGCAAAAAAAAGAATGTTATTTGCATTCACTGTGCCACTGTCTGCGCTTAATGTCTATTTTTGCAAGAACACATTCGCATGTTACACTCCTGATCTGATGGAACAAGCGAGAATTTTTCCATTTCAGATCCGGCAGCTGAAAAATTTACAGTTACGTTTAAAGATTTATCTGGTATCTGAGAGAAGTATGATAAGGCACTGCTTTGAAATGACAATTCTCTGTTGACATTTATCGTACAGAAGAAAGACAATGTATGGAGTGGGAAAAAGAAGGTGAGAGAGAGAAAAATGCACACGACTTCCTGCACAAGGGATGCACAGGATGAGATATCGAATGAAAAAGATCAATTAGAAAAAACAATACAAAGATTAGTCATGTCAGTGTTATCAGTAACCTCTTTTGTTGATTCACATCATGTCAGAATGATGTGACATAAAAAAACCCCCACAATACTCTGCTAACTGATCTCTTCTCTACCAAATATTCATATTTAATGTCAAAATCGTAATCCCATTAAAGACATCTTGAACACATAAGATTCAGAATTCATATCCTGAGGAAAAAGAAGAGAAATATTGATTAAAAGACATTGTAAAGACAATTGCATTTCACAAACATCATATGAATAAAAAAGACATAAATGACCTTGTACAGAAGGGGTGAAACTATAGAACATTAACTGAAATGTCAGCTTTATGAATGTACAGTACAAATATGTTCTTTGACATGAAAACATGACTCATTCGCTATGACACACAGACACAAACTCACAAACAAATGCATATGTTTCATCTTCAAAAGCAGAGGGCGGCATGCATCTATTCTTTTATATAACCTCCATTAATCATCTCTAAGTGAACTAAAGACGGTGAAGACCTCTGCTTCCATAAATGAAACAACACTTAACACCTCTGAATGCACGATGGGTAGAACAACCTTCTTCACAAAGTCTTCTGCATCTCCATCAGAGTTGTGGTTAGGGTGTTAAAATATGGTGGATGTCAGACCTGGGCGGCAGCGCTCAGCGTGTCTGCAAAGCTCAGGAGGAGGACACGTCAAGCTATCTGTGAACCTCTCAAAATTCTCAACGGGCCACCTCTCAACGGCCTGTCACTCTAGAGGAACTGGACAGCGTGAGCACTGATAAGTGGCCCAGACTAGCACTGATGCTGTAAAACATGGAATCTGTCAAACATTCTTATTGTGAGCATTGTATGAGCTCCAAAGCCTAGGTTTTGACTTTAGACCCCACTGCTGAACTCATCACAGATAACATAAATGTTAAAGATCGACAGTTTCAGGTCAGACTGAATATTTCTGAAGCCAGCATGGCTCGGACCCTGCAGGAAAATGCATATTATACACATGGAGCCTTTATACACCGTCTACCTCAATCTGTCTACAACTATATATATATATATATATATATATATATATATACACAAAACACATTTTTTTAGAGAACATGAGTGGTGCTTGCTTTTGCAAATCTCACTACCCCAATGCTAATGCTGTTAGAACATTGCTATGCGTTGATGATGTGGCTTCTAGGGTGTTAGGAGTTTTGCAAGTTTGTTGTGGCCAAAATCATGTATTGTTAGAGTTGTCTGATGAAGAACTCTGTGACCATTAAAAAATGATGCTCTATTAAGTGCACATTAATAGGATTCTATAGCTTCATTGAATACTGGAGTGTCCATTGGATGGACATTTCCAAAAGTAGAATGGCATATGGGTATGTCTTGGGTACTGTTTTATGGACATGCTACTCATTTCACACACTGCTTTTTGCAAGCAGTTTAGTAAGAGAGTAGGCATATTTGGTTGCAGGGTATGATGATACTGCAGTGCTTTAAATACAAGTTAATGCAAAATAACACATATTGGCCTAAGTGAAATGCAAAAGGTTTGCATTTGGCAATTTGTAGACTTTGATTTCAATGGCTCAACCTCAATCCAGATGGGATGAGTGACCTTTGAAGAAGGTGAGTTCTTGAGACTGGGCTGCGGTGTTTGTGCATTACATATAATGGTACTAACACAGAGACAGGTGGTTTGATGTGCTCTTTGAAGCCCAGCTTCTAGCAGTGAATGAGGAGGAGGGAGAGACTAAGAGAGAGACAGAAAAGGGGGGAGGGTGAGTTTCAGACAGTTCTGAAACTCACTGCACCACCATGCAGACTCCACGGCAGACACCTCACACACTACGAACCAAAAGCACTACCACACACACCTTCAAAGAGCTTATAATTATGCAAAATGACCATACTCTCAAGAATTTGCAACAATGTCCTGAGACTGATGCCAAGGAATATAGACTTTTACAAATGTGAGTGCCGTTTGCCCATGCAAAACCTACCACCACACTGCTAGTGTGGTTGCTTAGCTTTCCTGCAAAATTTGCCTAAATCGCCTAAAACACACAGTGTACCATGGGCAGTACAGTGGAATGCTAACAGGTAAATAGCCCAGCTGAAAGAGTTTACCCTCAACTCTTAGTGATGTTCTGGTTTCTTTAGCAGATAGAGTTCAGGACCCTCCTTCAGTGTGAAGGAATGTTCTCACCAGCACAAATGTTCGGCACAAAAATTTGGCCAGATTTTCGCCAGCTTTATTTGCAGTGTGATGGAAAAGAGATTAGACAATAGAACATATTTGTGTCAGTCTGAACAGAGGCATTAACAGCCATTCAATCAAATTAAAATATTTATTGCACCGAATTTTCGCACCCAACATTTTTTTGCTACCCAGCCTCATTGGAAATACATGCCTTTGCCTACAATTTTGCAAAACTACTCCTTGCACAATATTATGTTATGACTTCAAAACAATTTTAACATGCTATGAGATTTGAAAACCAATACTTTTCAGTTGCATCAGCAAATGTGTTTTTATATCACTTTTGCATTTGTTAACACTATCAGGTAGGTTCAGTAGCAGATAGAGTTCAGGACCCTCCTTCAGTGTGAAGGCCTGTTCTCACCAGCAGAAATGTTCGGCACAAAAATTTGGCCAGATTTTCGCCAGCTTTATTT